GTGCTGTTTTAATTGTCTTCCTAAATGCACTTTTGACATCCTGCCAAGAAAGTGTCAGCAATTTCTTTTAATTGAAAAAAGGACTTTTAGTCATATCCACTGTCTTGGACAAGACCATAATTTTCATTGTATTTAAATCCACTCTTCTTCCTTCCTACCATTGCAGTCTATGATGGTTCCCACAATATATTTTACTTTCTTCCTTTGCATGAACCTGAAAGAACAGCCTAGTTGGGTCTTTTTAAGTACAGACGGCTGGTAAGAACTCCAGGGACCCTTTCTCACTATACAATTATAGCACTATGATTCCACTTTAACTGCCATGGTTACATCTAGGGATGGAAAGAACATTCGAAAATATTTGGAAAATAATTGTAAAAACATGGTTTCAAAGTGTCAAGAAACCCTGACAAGAAGAATCCTGAACCGACAAGAAACTTTGCAGTTTGCGACTTATTCTGTGAAAAATTCGCACACGGTTGTTTTTCACTGAAAAAGCTATTTCTTATGCAGAAACTGCTGTGATTGGGAACATTCCATGCAAAATTCACACATGGTTGATTTGCTATGAAAGCCTCTTTTTAATGCAGAAAAAGCACTGAAATATTGTTGTGTGTGTGGAAAAAGCAGTTTCCCCACACACAAAAATGTGTTTTTTATCTGCAAAACAACCATGTGCAAATTTTGTACCCAATATGTCCTACATTGAGAATGGGCTTCAAAAACTGGACAGTTTTTCAGAGTCCTCCCAGCAGAAAGAAAATTGCTAAAATTACTCATTGCTTCCTTTGAGAAGAAAAAGAATGACAAATTACATCCCTAGTTGTACCTATGGAGTTCTGGGACATGTAGCTCAATGAGGCAGTGGAAATCTCTGGCTCTTCCCATCACTCCACCTCTGTTGGATGCACTAGTAGGTCAAGCATAGTCAATAATTGCCATTACATTACATTGCTGCTCATTCCTTTTTACATCCGATTTGCAGCTGATTATAAGTATATTAAACTACAGTGGGCCCTTGGTATCTGCTAGAATTTAGGTCTAGTATCCCCCATGGATGTCCAAATCCATAGATGCTCAAGTCCCATTAAATACAGTGGTGTAGTCAAATGGTGTCCCTTCTATAAAATGGCAAAATCAAGGTTTGCGTTTGGGAATTTATATACTTATTTGAATATTTTCAAGCTGTGGATGTTTGAATCTGTGGATAAATAATCTGTAGACATGGAGGGGCAACAGTATTGTTGACAGAACAGGCAGCAACTGCTATGTTTGTGTATGGTTGGTTAATGGATTAATTAATTATGGGGCTTAGGAGGATCCAGCTCCTATGGAGTCATGAAGATTCCTTAATGGCCTTGGGCCAATCACTTTCTTAACCTAACCTTTGCTGTGAGGATAATATAAAAGGTAACGAATCCATGTATGCCACTTTGATCTCTTTGGGGGAACAGAGCTATGCAACTAAGGAATAACCATGAGATGACTGGTGAATAATTCCCCTTGTTTCCCCCTAAACAAGGGGAAATGGTTGCCATCATCTCCTCCTGCTTCTGCGCTTTCCAGGACCATCTAGTGGTTCACAGTTACAATAAGGATGCTGGACTGTGAGAAGTCTTTGATGGATGCTGAACTGTAGGAAGTTTTCATAGGACCCAGCAGGTCTCTTTTTTCTATCCTAATGCCTTGTAGCTAAGTGTGTGGCATGGCTCTCCTTCTTTTGATGCATATCCTTGGTTGCCGTTGACTAGTGGGCACTGCTTATTGTTACAGGCATGCAGATTAATTGAAAGGATCACTTCCCAGATTGACCGGTTAATCTGATCATGGTGATGACTAAAGTTTATTAATTGCCATCTAATTTGCTGTTGTCAAAAGAATGCTGATCTCTGCTCGCATTAGATGGAGTTCCGGTCAATTCCAACAGCAAGGTACTTAACCAATTATCTCAAGCCTTTACAACCTCATACCTCCCCCTTCTCTTTTATAGCAGTTGTGTGTTTTGCCTATGGTTAGTTGTGGTTTTTGAACTTCAGGAGGATGTTTCCGGCTGCGGGAAAATGCCCTGATCACAGCCTTTGGACTGACATAGTGGATTAGTTGAGATTTAAACCAGTGACCTCCTAGCTCTGGCTACTGTCATGTTGCTTCTTAGGAAAGCACAACAGGGCTGTCTCCGCTCAGGTTGCTGGAAATCACAAGATGATGAGAGGTGACAGATCTCGCAACAGGGTTTGATTTCTGCCTCCTTGGGCCACATTCCTGCAAATAAAGGCTACAGGAGGTCACTTTGTGTGTCCAGAACCAGTGAACTGAGATCACAATAAACTTGTACAAGGTTTTCTTCTCTCTGTGTGTTTCTTTTTCCTTTTATGCTTTTTTCTCTCCCCCGCCAGATTTTTTTCTCCCCATTTTTTCTGGCAAGTGGAACTGTCATCTTTCTAAATGCAATAATGCAATACGGAAGAGGAAATAATATCTGTAGGACTTAATAAATGAAAAGAGAAAAAGCTCTATCGTGCCGAGTATGAAGAATGAAAGCTTCGATTTTTTTTTAATTCAGCTCAATCAATTGATTGTTTAATGGAGATGTGTATATTTTTAAAACAGAAGTCATGTTTAAATGGCCCAGTCTCACTTGTAACAGCTTTGAATGCCAGACAATGTTCTTCTTGTAAACCAGGGTCCCATTGACATTATTGAAGTATAGTGTTGTGATTCCACTTTAACTGCCATGGCAACATCCTGTGGAATACTGGGATTTGTAGTTTGGTGAGCAGGTACGAGCAGGTATTTTGAATTCTTGCCTCCTCAAAGTGCAAACTTCATAGAATCCATAGGATTTAGCTGTGGCAGTTAAAGTGGAATCAGAGCAGTATAGTTGTATAGTGTGAAAGGGACCCAAGTTTTGCCAGCTTGGTCCAATCCTCACTACAGAAATAATCCAGTTTGAGACTACTTTAACTGTCCTGGCTCAGTGCTAGGGGATCCTGGGAATTGTAGTTCATTGTAGCACCAGAGCTCTCTGGCAGGGAAAGCTAAATGTCTCACAAAACTACAGTTCCCAAAATTCCCTAGCATTGAGCCAGGGCAGTTAAAGCAGTCTCAAACTGGATTATTTCTGCAGTGTGTTTGAACCACAGTAGGCAAATCCCATCAAGGCTACCATTTAATAGGGAGTAGGGGAAGATCTGTGGTTTCCTGAAACATTGGCTAGTATCCTGCCGGATAATTCCTATTTGATTGTATTTTTGAATGATGATTCAACACATAGGTGAATCTTACTGATTCAGGGAGGCTTAATCTATTCTGTAGTAGTAGAATGTAGACTATAAAATGATGGATGTTGTCATTGGTACCAGCTCACTCGTTGCCATGATTATTTACAGTATTTTTAAAGACAAAAAGTGCAGTTTCCCCAGAAATTGGAGGAGCAACAACATCTGAAATCCAGCATGGTGTGGTATAGGTGTGGGACTCATACAGCCTGTGAACCCCGGTTGCTGGTTGCATCCCTTGAACCCTCCATTGTTGAAAAAAATGGCTATTGTTATTCTTGGAAGCATCTAGTAGCAATGATTTTACCTTAAAACAAGACGTAGCACTGCCTTGCACCTTGTTCTCCCTCCTTCTCCCCCCAAAAATAAAATTAAAAAAAAAGATTTCACAAAGCTAGAAGTGAATCATGGAAAGCAATATCGATATCTTATCCTATGTCTCTCTCTAATCAGAGGAGGGGGAAAAATAAAAATAACTCTCCCTGGGTCCTTTCACACTACACGACCATAATGCTACATTCTAATTTAATTGCAATGGAAACCTGGGATTTAAAGCTTAGTAGGAAAGAGTAGCCAGGATTCTCGGCTACAGAGTTCTAGTGCCTTAGCAAACTATACATCCAGGCTGGCACAAGAATGTAGATGGGATCTGGTGCCTTGAGGGTATTTAATCCTGCTAAAGTGGAGTGTAATGATGTACAATTGTGCAGGGTGAAAGAACCTCTCATTCCCTCCCCAAAGTGGTTCATCAAAGGTGTTGTAAACTTTCAGAGTCCTGTACTCCCCAATTTACTTGAGGGCAGATAGCAACTGTAGTGTCCCTTCCCATTATCACTAGGAGCATCTTGTTTCAGTTCCAGATTCGATTTTGCACTGGCTGATAGAAATGCAAATGTTCCCGTCAGATAAGGATTAATTTGATTTCCATCCTCTTTGTTCTAATGATGCGATTCCATTTCTGCTGGCAAGGCAAGTTTCGTTTTAAAACCACATCTGTATTTTATCATAACAATGAAGAATTATTATTATTGTTGTTATTTTGCTGAAGCACTGAGTGAAGCCAAGGCGTGGAGGGGAAGGCGGAGAGGAAGAACTTAACAAGGCTTCTCTGAAGACACGCTTGGGCTGCTCCAAATAGATTAATATTTTCCCCTCATAATCTACAGGTTACACAATTGCCACTCAGATATTAAATGAGCAAACTTCTTTTTGAAAGGAAAGGGAGTTGGCCAAACCTGTTGCTCTAATTGATACCTTTGATCCTGATGAAGTGTAACCTTTCCAGGACTCGAAACAGAGCAAAAGGCAAATGAAGGATGCTATTCCTTACTTGTAGTCAGGAAAGCAGCCAAAATGAGGGAATGAAAGCTAATTGAAAGCTAAAACAAACATGAAAAGGAATAGCCGTCTTTCTCCTTTTCTCCATTTCAGACTTTCTCCCAAGGTCTGCAAGCCCTGCCATTAAGGTCAAGATGATCTATCTATGGATTGATCAAGTGCGTGAGTGATTGGTCACTTGAGTAAGGGATAAATTGACTTTCTTCATTTTACAGGAGTGATATTGAATGAAATAGGTGGGTCCAGTTCAGCCATTGCTCAGCCTCCACATTCTTCACTGTTGCCTTATGATAGATGGTGCATAAGTATGAGAAACAAATTGTCTTATTAACTGTGAAGGCTTCCTACACAGAATGAACAAATTGTGGCTTGTAATCCAAGAGAACCAGCGTGGTGTAGTGGTTTGAGTGTTAGACATTGACTCTGGAGACCAGGGATCGAATCCCAGCTTAGCCATGTAACAACCCACTGATTGACCTTGAGCAAGTCACACTCTCTCAGCCTTAGATGATGACCCTGGCAAACTCCCCTCTGAAGAAATCTTTCTAAGAAAACCCCATGATTGGTTCACCTTAGGGTCGTCATAAGTCGGAAGCAACTTGAAAGCACATAATAACAACTGTCCAAGAAACAGACATCACACATCAAACACTTCCTCCATTCTGAGCACAGGCTGCCTATAGAATTTATAGATTCTGACTTGAGTGCCCCCATATTATAACCTCCATCTCTTTACTCACATACCATAATGAACTAACCTGTCTTCCTGGTTTGTCCTTTCTATGCTAACAACAAATGGCAAATTTTGGTATCTTTGTCCCCAGTCCCTACATGTAAAGTAGGGGGTTTACCTTTGACATCCCTCCAGACTAGTTTAACTGACAAAAGAAGTAACATTTGAGACAAAGTGTTGAGACCTGTGACTCTAACATCATCTCTATTCTTCTCCTGTATGATTTTTTAAAATATCTTTGCCTGATGGAGGAGCTTCAAAAGCTTGGATGATATATTTTGTGTATTTTAATTGATCTCACTGTTTCATGGATTTGAGATTTTGTTGTAGTAATTAAATGGCAAGACTCTGTTAAAAATATTGATTGGTATTCAGTATTTCAGTTACGGATTCATAACCCAGAGGGCCTTCCATGTGTGCTCATTTCTACTCTATAGTGAGTTTAATTGGTGTCAATTGTCTGCATAGATGGTGTTTTGTTTGGAAGATAGTGGCATGCTGGTTACAAAAGAGTGGCTGAGGATGCAATCTTTTGCAATTTTGTTTCCATTGAAATTGATCTAAATTCCCAAAGTGAGATTGTGAGAGAAATGAGAAAAGAAGAGAGACCAATTTGTCCCTCCCTATTGCAGAGTATCCCTGTGCTAAAGATTTCTAATGGTGGTAACTCAAGGCTGATTTGGAATGAAACAGAGGATTGAAAGACTCAGTCTTGTTGGCTTTTTTGCAGGCTCCTTCTTATGTCCACATGCAATTTTATTTCCCCAAATGTCCTAGAAGAGAGCTGCCTGATTGCCATGACTGTTTCCCCAGACTTTTCCCCTAACCCCACATCTTGTGGTGGGGAGTTCTAGATTCTACACTGTATAAAGAGCTGCTGTCTTTCACCTCTCCTGAATCAACTGCTTGCCTTTCTATGGGTGACCTCAAGAGCTAGTCTTACAAGCCAGGGAGGATGATTTTCTTTCCAGGAAGATTTTTTTTAAGGAGTTGATTTTTGAGATGGAAATGAAAACAGGACCTTGTGTTCTACAGGCACAGCCAAATCTGAGCTTCTAGCTTCCCATGGGAAATGCATCACTTCTCCTTTGAACAGTTCCTGCTGTGTGAGTCAATTGTGGATTCAACTAGCTAGACTATCTTTCTTTTGTTTGGTTCTTCTTTCACTCTGCTCAGGCCCAACCAATATTACAAACTGATATTTTCACTTAGACATCTCCTTGGTTCTGCCTGTTTCCATAAACATGGGACGTCTCCTCCCCCGGTGCATGAGTTAATGGAGCAGAAGGGCTCTGGTTGAGCTCAGTTGCACACCAGGTCAGGCCAAAGGTAGCTTTACCATGCTCAAGCTGCCTGCCATAAATGGGAGACATAACAGATAACCTACCCTCTTCTTTGTTCAGTTAGTGGAATCACTAGGACACACACCCTCATACATTGCAACTTAGGTTGACTCAGCCTGGGTCACAAAATACAGTGTGAAAGCCTCAGTAGGAGGGCTTCTGTTATTCTATTCCTGTGGTGTCATTTTCAGAATTTAGATAAAGAAGCAATTAGCAGGTGGCCATAAAGCTCTATGGCAAAAGATGTGTTGGCTGTAGCCTTGCCAGACTGTAGCCTGGAGAGCCTTTTTGTTTTGCTTATCCATATGCCTCGGTGATCTCAGTAAAGATAATTATTTCAACTGCTGAAATACTTCAGAATAGAAACCTTAATTTGCAGGTGTAAAGGGCTCTTTCTCGGTTAGTTTGATCTCTTTCCCACGTAAGTATATATTAAATTTGATAGCATTGTGCTCCCTGTTTTCAGTTGGTCCAACAATACTCACATTTTGCACTGGCTTCTGGGCAGTATCACTTAGAATTAAGTCCAGCAGGATCAACACCAGTTGGGCCATTTCTGTGACAAGCAGTTCTCAAGCACAATCATTTGAGGCAATTAGTAGTTTTTGTCATTATCAGAAAGCATATAGATCTAAGAAATGAAGTTTCCCATTGCCACAACACTTTGTCTTTTGAATGCTCTCTGTCTTCAGTCTCCATCTCAAAATGACCCTGGGTGTGTTGATCAAGTGGGGGAAAAGAGCATGACTCTAGTTCTAACCTGCTTTCAAGACCAGGAATTATGAGCCACAGCAATTCTGTGGAAAAATCAACCCCCTTTAAGTTTTGCATGTTCTTTGATGCTATGGCGTCTCTCTGATGTAGAAAGAGACACCACCTTCCAGATACCCTTCCCTGCTTAAATGGTAGAGTCTGTATTCAGAGATGTCCATTCCACACTGTATCTGTCCATTTTACCAGGTTTCCGTTAATCACATGATATTTCCTCTCTTAAATCCAAGTATTCCAGTTTTGGCTTGAAGGTTTCTCATGTTAGCATAGAAACACCTATATGTGGTTTCCCTTTCCAAATGTCTGTGCCACATGATTTTTTCTATGTTGTCTTTGACTGATTTGTGGTCTTTTACTGTGTATATTTCCATCCTGTCCCCATTCAGGCAATCTGATACATTAGGGGATATTCAACTGGAATACCAAATACTCCTCATCTTTCTCCTGGGGTTCCATTGAAAACCTAGAGATGGGTGAATATTTCAGGGAAGACCAGCCCTACTATTAGGCAGAGTGAGGCAGTTGCCTCAGGCAGCATTCACCAGGAGGCAGTGGTGACTGGTGATTCCCATATCATTGGGCCAGTGAATCCATTCTGGATAACTTCAAATGAGTGATCTAAGATGATGAACCTGTTTTGAAGATAGGGTTCAGAACCTTGGATAGTTCCTTTAAAATTTGGTCCAAGATGCAGAGTAGATCCTTACTGACATAAGAGCCACCAACTGTCATCTTTGGGTGATGGCATCAAAATGCTGATGGAGAGAGGTATGTACTACATGCTTCTTCTGTTCCCCTGGTATAACTCCCCCCTTTCCCTTCACAATGCCAAAAAAAGATTTGACTTCAGTCTAGTTGGATTTTGTACACTTAAGTGATGAGACGGTGCCACATTTCTCTTCACCCCAGATAGCAAAATATCCTTGGCTAGAGAGGGATGAATTCAAAATGCAATCTGTCCCACTGTCACCAGTAAGGGAGCCCAAATGCAAATTGACAGACCCTGTTGGAGCTTATGCTTAGTCAAATTCTGATTCACATCTGACCTTCATCGAGTGAGGCTGGAGAGTATGGCTCAAACCCTATTGTGGTTTTCATGTGATGTTATGCAAAGGTTGTGCAAGGGGTTATCACCTATTCAAGATTTCACAAGCTGGGTGGTGTTGATGTAAAGCATAGCTCAAGCACTTGAGCTGTCTAGAAAGTTTCATACCTGCACTCCATAGTGGTTGGTGGAGAGTTGGAATGACAGCTGAGATACGAGAGAGTGCCCATTCTTACTGTCCGTTGTGTGATCATTTGAGCAGTTGAGTAACTTCAGCGTAACTACTTGAGTGTGATTTTACCCCATACAACTGGTAAACATGACCTTGGCCCATGGCAGAGACTGTGACACCACCCTACAAACCCTATCTGCAAATGGCAGATCCCCATTGCCAAGGGGAAGCTCTTGATGGTGCTGTTAATAATGGGAGCACTGAGTGGGTTGATTCACATGTTCAGCAAACACTTTAAAGGAAGAAAACCCTCAAGGTGTTTTGAACTGTTTGACTGAAAGTTTCTAATCAGGCTGATTTATGTTTCAGTAAAGCATCCTTCATAAGATTATATTTTTTAAGAGAATAATGAATGGAAGGAATTCCATGTAGCATCTCTTTGGAACCAATGCTTTAAAAGTTAAAAGATGAATTGAGATAACATTAGATTTGCTGGTGCCTTGATGTTCACTTCATCTGTTTTCTACCTCTGTTCATTTTTTTGGTCTCATTCCCAACTCAGAACTTCTATAAAGAGGAAAAAAGATAACTGATGTAGCAGGTCCTTGGGAATACACCAATATGAGAGCTTAGCATGCTGTCAGAACAGAGCTTGTCAGATGCTTCTATTGTATTGGGATGTGATTTTTACTAACCAGTACGATTAGAGGCATGATTCATGTATTGTGGACTGTTGAAAAGGAGGGTAATTTGAGGTAACAGAGAGGATTCTCAATGCCAAAACAATAATGATAATTCATTCAGTGATAAGGAATTGTTATGACACGTTTTCTATTATTAATCTGGTTAAAGGGGTCTAGGTTAAATGACTGCAGTCGATTAAAAGATATACAGAGGGGGGAAACGTTCTATATTTATTACAGGCAAAGCAAATTTGGTGGAGACAAATCGCATCATGGAAGAGTGCACAAAGTGTGATTTAAAGAGCTCCTTTCGTGGGAATATTGCATTTTAATGAGAAAACGAAATATGCCCTTCTTTATGAATGTATATATGCAATTCCAGGTAAAACACTGTGGCATCATGTAGGATTTGTAGCCAGGTTTGAGTTAAAAATGCTGGTAATGGCTTTGCCTTTCTCTGTTTTCAGTTAGATTTACATGCATGTCAGTCAATCATAAGAGTTAAAGGAGGCAGCAAAGCTATCCTGGTGATATAACATCTTTCCAACATCCTATCCACCATGGGATGATGATTCACAGATCAGAAGATAAGACTAGTGACATAGTCAGAAATTTTGTTACTTGATACATTGAGCCTCCTTTATCTGGAATTCAGAAATCCAAAACACTCCATAAATAAATAAAAAAAAAAAAACATGGGTAGCTGAGA